ATAAATATATATATATATATTAATAATTAAGATAAATCAACCAATATTTATCAATAATATTATTAAAATCTCTAAATAGAGATTCTTCTTTTATATCAGCAAATTCTATATCATTTCATATAATTTTTTTTTCACATAATTTATGAATTTTTTCTATATCAAAATAATTATAAAAAAATTTCACCTCTTATAAGTTATAATCATATTATGCTTATATATCTTTATATAAATGTCGTAATATATATATTTCTCGTAATTCATTCATAGTTTATGAATCTTTTTCTATTCATCAATATATATTTTATTTTTATTTCTTTTAAAAAATTCAGAAATATCTCAGTATTTCTATATTATATCAAGTTAGATTATATTTCGGATATCGGAGATTTATAGATCTATCTAAGAACGATCTAAATACAGCGTATAAAGTTCAAAAGTTCCAATTCGTTGAATTTTATAATGAATCAGCAAAATATATCTAAAGAATTCGATTCATACATTTATTCGATAACCTATAGTTTGTGTTCTTCTACTAATCTGAATATAATATTCCGATCTTATTTTCTGAGATCTCTGTTTATATCTTGCATGATCAAGTCTATTAAAAAGATCATGTAATCTGAGTTGGTTTTTAAGTGGCAATTTCGTCTCCGAGGGCCTTCTTCGCTAGCAAGATGAGCTCCTTGTACAAACCCAGGCTCTCTCTGAGGTGTCAAAGTTTTCGCAGACAAGAAATAGTAGTTTGATGTTTGTATACATGAGCATGCTTTTGAGGTGTTCGTACACATATGTATATGCATACACATATACATACACATATACACCTGTGTCCGTGCGCCTGTGTATGCACAATTGTACATACATCCACACATGCATAGGTGTTCGTGTTTAGTTCTTTCGGCAACAAGGGGCTCAGGATTATATAATCCTGTGACATCGCTACCCTGCCTGGACATCGGAAGGGAAGAAGACCGCCTCGATGTCTGGAGCACCTGCCCAAAGTCAAAAACGTTCCGCAGGAAAGGTGACATGAACTGCGAACTGAGCGCAGTGGGTAATCATCTCTCTAGTGCGACCATGGAGGCTTTCTTTTTCCATTCATGTAACTTGAAACTGGTTAACTGGTTAATTACACTATGGCATATTTTGGGGCCTAATCCGAGACCATCAAGCCCATCTATATATAGACTGAGAGCATGCCTTCCGACAGCCGTGGCTTCTTGCACCGAGGACCCGTTGGTGTGGATGCTGCCCCATACTCTACCTGACGCGTGAAAACAGAGGTTTGTTGAGGAATGAGGGTCTTGGTTTTGGGTTGTAAATTCAGGCATGAGCTTCCGACGCCAAGTGAAACTCCGAAGCTTACACTTACATTCCAGAGGGTGCGACTGCTGCATGTATGCGAGGCGATTCAGAATGATGTGGATGCACTTTCCTCGCGAATAAGCTCATGCATCGTCGCACCAACATGGCATTCATTCTTTGTGATCCGGATTGGCACATGGAGTTTCCCACCCGAACAGTGGCTGGCCAATCGAAGCTGCGCACCGGCGGATCCGACGACAAAATCTTCGAAATGCATTGTCAGTCTCCACAAGAGCGGCTTGTGCTTGCCAGCTAATCAATCATCCAGTCTTCGGCGCTGATGTCAAACTGCAGAGGCAGGCACTACCGCATCTCCAAATCTTCTCATTGCGTGGGTCTGTCTTCTAACTGCACTTCGGATTGGCGTCCTGAGCGCGATCCAGGAAGAAGCGAGCCCAGTCAGACTGCTCCACATCCTCGCATAGAACAAGCAAAAACGCAAAAGTTAAGTGATCAACCCCCCAAATGGGCTTGTGCACTGACAGAAGGGAGCAGGGGAAACCAGTGGTAGTGGTTTTCGATCGTCATTGCTCTTGCGACGATTTTTGCCCACGTTATCTACAATCATGGACACGAGATGAATAAGAGCGCTGTTTCTACTCATGCAAGACGTCGACCATTAGCCCCGGGCCTCTTCCCCAATACCTAAGGAAAGCAAAGCTTAGACTCTAAGAATAAAGCTGACCCAAAATAAGGTCCCAAAAAGGGTTTCGAGTACCAAGTACACTCTAAAACCCCGCAGACGCAACCCCTAAACAGTGATAGCCATCCCCCCAAAACATGGAAACCAAGCTTTAGATGTGGAGCTCAGCGTCCTTCCCGCGGAGCTCGAGGCAGAGCTCCGGCAATCCAGCTGTAGATGTCTGCGCGACCAGCCGCAGTCGCACCTCGAGGGCTATTTCGGACGTTCTGTTGGAATTATGCTGCGGTGGCTTCTTTGTGAGCTCCTTTGATGAGGAACCAACCGCTTTAAATTAATGTCTGCATAATGTTTGTAGAAGGCTCTCCATGTTCCGGAGATTGTCACCTCCCTTCAAGCCGGGTGCCGTCTCTCCGGCACATGAAGCAGTGAAGGCAGCAAGTGGACTTGTGACTCAAGTGAACAGTGAACAGGATGTTTATTCACCCAAGGTTCCCATAAAGGCTCCTATTGCATCCTTCTCCCCATCCCCCAAAATTTTACTAACCGAATCCCAGATTTTGAGCGATCTGCGAGCGCGAAAAGTGGTCCATGAACCACTCTACGCCTTAGCCCCCAATCTTAGGGATTCGCCCCAAAACAGCTTCTGGTTCAAGCTTATTTCCTATACGGGTAAATGGTTTGTAGTCGAGGATCTGGTGTAGAACCTCCGTGTCACACTTTCTAAGGATTCTAAGTGTGACGGGTCCACAAGGAAACTAGGCCCCAACACACACCAAAGATGCCTCAGCCTCGCTGGTGAACGAGCCCGTTTTACATGGAGTTTCAGAAAATTGGGAAGGACTCTCCCCAGGGGTCCTTGGCATATCCCACGTTTTCGGGTCGGTCTGACTTTCTGAACTCCGATACACTCCAACGTCGAAGCTGCGGTAGGTGCCTCTGCGGACACCTGGCTCAGTGGGCGTCGAAAAGGCATCCAACACCTTCAGGCTTGTGGGCTCAAGTGCTGCTTGGTCTGACCGGGCCTAACCGCTTCTTTTGGGCAGCTGGCTTCCGGCACCTTGTATGTAGAACAAACGGCCGCTTCTGCATGGCATATCTGGCTAAGCCTTGCGCAGCAGGTTTTTGAACAGCTACAGATTCTCCCAAGGGGCTGTGCCCAGTGAGTTTGCGGTGCCCACGGTGAAGTTGAGAGCACCACGTCCTGCTTGGAGGGCCACTGGTTGCTAGTCATCACAGTCTTCCATCCCTCCTTTCGAAGTGCCCGGAAACCCTAACCTCCCCAACCTGAAACCCTGTGAATTTCAGCACCCCCTGTAAAAAGCAGCACCCTGGCAGACTCCCCGATGCTCTGACCTGTCAAGCACTTGGTGTTTTGAGTCCTCGTGTTCCCGCGAGCAATGGAGGTCAAACCAACCGACCAAGCCTGGACATACAGCAGGACAGTTGGATCTTCCGGTTCCGTTCGTACTCCGCGTAAGCGCTTCAGCGAAGCCGGACTCCATGGAGCATCAATCGGGCTGAAGCGATCTGTCGTCAAAGTGTCCGTGCAGCAATCAGTCGGTTCCAACTTTGGTATCTCCCGTCCTACTTGCAGAGTTTCCCGACCCGACGAGGGGAGGCTTTGTGGGCAGAGGCTTAGGTAGGTAAGTGGGTAGGTAGGTAGGTAGGTAGGTAGGTAGGCAGGGAGGTAGGCAGGTAGGTAAGCCAAGCAGGCAGGCAGGCAGGCAGGCAGGTAGGTAGGGCGGTGAGGTAGGCAGTTGTGCGAGCTTGCATGTGTGTAGGTGCGTGCGCGGGGGTGCGTGCGGCGCGTGTTTGTTTGTGTACGCGCGCCTGCATGTGCGTGGGGCATACAGGGTCCGCAAATGCACCGAGATCTATTTTGGCGACTATGGGCCCAAACATCTTCTTTTGACTTCGCCAGCCTAACAAAACGCATCGTCGCACTCGGGACACAGCTGCAACATATACAGAAGTCTGAGTAACATACTGGCGAGGCATGACATAGGCGGGTCGATGCTATAGCGACATCTAAGCAGGTAGATGCATGTGGCATGCTGGCTGAACCCCAGACATGACCCGGAAATCACCCCAAGGCCCCGGGACCCAGCTGAAAGGTGCCGAAATGGCGGTCTGTCACATAGGTGCCTGCGCTCTCCTCGATCTCCTTTAGCGACAGCTGCTGCCCTGCGGCCTCAAAGAGATCGGCTGCACTGCCTGGGCTGCTTCACGCGCAACATCTAGGGGTACTGGATTTTGGGCTTCAGCTTCCGGTCTTGATTCGGGTTCAAAAGCTCGGCTTGAACCTGCAGCAGCAGAGCCTCTCTTGATGGCAATGGCCATCGTGTCGCGGTCTTGTCCGTCTTAGCAATTCCAGCGACGACCACGGACGCAGCTGCACATGATTCGTTTGATTGGTTTCCATGAGGCCGCTTTTGGACTTGTCACTGGCCGGGTGCTTGCACATTGTGCTCTTGCTTGGCGCAACCATGCCCGCGCCGGCAATTCCGAAACCACCCGCAAAAAGCGCTCAAAATGAAGCCGAGACTTTAGACGAACATGCCAAAGCTGAAACCACAGACCCCTGAACCCTTAGCCATTTTCCTCTCAAAGTTCCCAAACCCCCAAACCCGAATGATGGACTACATTGTGCGACCCGGGCGGCATGTGTTCAGATCGACCTCGAGCTGCACATCGCACTATCCCTAACCCCGCCAGGTGCCTACTATATAGGGTACTAGAGCCCCTATAGGGGCCCCTATATAGTAGGTACCTGGGGGTCAGGGTTTGATGGGCTCTTAGAGCTCAGGGTCTCAGAGCTCAGGGCGTGGGATGTTGAATTCAGGGTTCGGGACTACCAGGTCGGACCTCTACGGAAGGAGCCCTAAACACTAACGGTTTAGGGTTTAGGGTTTAGGGTTTAGGGTTTAGGGTTTAGGGTATCCTGAAATATCACATGATCCGGCCTTCCTGGGCTCAGAAATATGAATAGTTTCAACCCACCTATGGGGTCATACCCTACCTCTTTTTTAGGGTACCTGCAGATCCCAACCATAAAACTATAGGTACCTACAAAAGGGGGTAGGGTATGACCCTTTAGGTAGTAATTAGACTTGGGATTTGAATAGGGCTTAGGATTTAGGGTTTAGGGCCGTAATCATTGGACTAGGGTTTTGGGGTATATTACATATGGGGCCCGTAATAATTAGAATAGGGTTGTGGGCTATA